ACCTCATATCATGTAATTTACAAAACCATGGCACGTATCATGATGGTGTAGTTTCGGTTAACATCCATGTAACATGGTATAGATAGCGTATGTTCGTAACCGGGAACTTATTTAAACATTTTTAATAATTTAAACTTTTTAATAAAAACATTTGTATCAAGAAAAAAGGCCCTAATCTGATGGTCTCTTGTGGTCAATCATTTTGAAGCTCAATTTCATTTTTAATCAAAGTTGGGCATGGGGACCTAGGTCTTTCCAAATTCGCAAAGCTGTCAAACTCTAACGTCGTCGGTAGCATACTAAAACGGGCCTCAGAATTCAGCCGGGGAAGCCAGATTCCCCACCCTTGACCCTGTAGCACAGACACGGGATTACTAGACATTAGACTCTGTCTGATCCTAGAATTACACCTCCTTACATCAGTGAACCCTCTACCATTAGGCCATCTATGAGCCTTGCTAATGGAAAGTACGGTCAACATTTAAATCAATGATGGTAAGGCCATGTTGATTTCATTGTCTACATTTAAATCAATGATGGTAAAGCCATGTTGATTTCATTGTCAACATTTAAATCAATGATGGTAAGGCCATGTTGATTTCATTGTCAACATTTAAATCAATGATGGTAAGGCCATGTTGATTTCATTGTCAACATTTAAATCAATGATGGTAAGGCCATGTTGATTTCATTAGAAATTCGGCTGGGATTTGGGATTAGGTCAGCAGTGGTCGTAACGTAGTTGGGGGTCAAGTTTAAATCACCTATGATTGGTTGGCATGTCCTAAGTCTCGTTAAACTGGGAGCCAATGGTAACTACAAAGGATGGTACCGAGGCTAACAAGGCTCCACAGAACTCCAAAACTCAGTACATTGCCGAGTCATAAACTCTGCAAAAGGCCAGCATTGGCCGTTTTGTTAAAAAAGTAGTAATTCACAATTCACAGATTCACAATACCAGCGTGGTATTCTTGTGGGTAAGCATCAGTTTGGGCTGATTTATTTTATTAGTTCTCTCGCATTAGTGCTGGGATCTTTAGAGAATGTCCATAAAATTAAGTCAGTGTGGCCTAATGGACCTTCATGGACAATCTAGTTGAACGGGGGGGATAACATTTGTAATGAGTGATGCTGACATGAACACAACTTGCTTACCACTATTGCTATATGGACTGTCAGGTGGGGATGTACTCGATTCTCATCTTGTCAAACTAAGACCTTATAGTGTGTAGAAGCGTCGAAGTTTAAATTTAAATCGATTATCGATCAACATTGTCCTTGAGGAAGTTCTAGATTGAATCAGCCAATATGAAAGATCCAGCTGGGATTCGTCCAGTGTTTAGGTGTCATATTATTGTTATTGACTTGGACGTATGGAATGAATACTTGTTTTATAGATCATCAAATAGTAAAACACATTCGTATATAACTAGAGCGGTGGCATTTGTAAAAGTAAGTAAAAATACTATATTTTACTGATACGTTTGGCTTATACTACAAACGTGGGCATCCGTTATTAGGTCTGCTTATTAATAATAGAAAACTCAGCACTGATAATTGATTTTTGGATCGATGCACGGATATATTTTACTTCTAAACTAAATACGATAATCTCTATATCCATTTACCGATAGCCAGCTTATTTTCGTGCAACCTTAAGTGCAGGAAACATTAGGGGCATGAAATCTGATGTTGGTGGTGTTGAGTGTCTCTAACTCGTGAAAGACATCCAATGCATTTTAGGGCAGAAAAACAACAAAAATATTCTGGAAATATTCTGATATTCACATCTACTGCTATTTTTTGCACTACTTCACTTCTCACACCTCGCAAACACCTCAATTACTTTGCACTTTGTTATCATTTCATACTTAAAAGAGTTTGAAATAACCCCAAAACAAACTACGTAAAGAATTCCCTATCTTAGGCACAACCCATAAATGACTAGAACCAGCCTACCACACAAAACTGTTTCCGTCAGCGACATCGCATATTTCTTTTAAAGATATAAGTATAATTGTTACTCTACGTGATGTTGACATTTACTGCTATTCCATAGCACATTTTCCTTTTAATCTTACACTTTACGCTATGAAAATAACCTGATTTTTGGTACCCCTGATAAATATCTACAACATCAGCGACATCACGTTTGTTTTACATATATCAGTATTTTGGCAGAAGACTAATTTGGCTACACATTATAATAATTCTGATCAATACTACTTTGAATGAATTGTCGTAATAAATGTTCAATAACTTTTGCAACATTGTTTTAGCTATGTGATAGAATAGGATCAACTTATTAGTAATACGTTCAAAAAATGACCCCAAAATTGAATTTGAAGATGCATCTTTGCCGCCATGAAGTTGCATCTAATGCCTTCAATGTATTATGACACAGTGCGTCCAGTCTGTATCATGCGAGACAAAAATCAATGCTAAACAATATCCTGAATGATGTTTGATTTCTTTTCCCATCAAAACTGACGTGAAACCAATCGTAACTCTCTACGCTCCGTCTGGTTATAAATCCCCAGCCCGTTAATGCGTTTGGTCATTTTTACAACTTCCCAGCCGGAAATTTGCAATGTTACATATGTGGCTGATAGAAAACCGATACGTTATCCCTTTGGAGAGCAAGTAATACGAAGCATATTGGCAAATGACTAATTTGTTAACACATAAAGATATTTCTGATCAATATGACTATGCATTAATTGTTGTAATAAATGAACTTAACATTTTCATAGCTTAGTCGTGTTTAATACCTTTTGCAACATCGTGAACAACTTTAAACTACACTTTTGCTGTTTGCATATATATAAAAAGTAAAAATAAAAATATTTATTGGAAATACCTGCTTGTTTAACAAATCTGAATTTAAGATTATCGTTTAAAACTTAAGCTCATTCGATCAGAAGTAAAGATTATCTAAAAAGTGAAAAATTACATTTTCAAAGAAATACTAGAAGAAGACTCTGAGGCAATAATATTTTATGACTACAGCAAAAAGCTAACTCTTAAATTTACTAAGTAAAACACAAACCTACCAAAAATATCAAACAAACGACTATTACATTATTTGGGACTATATCTACTAGACAATCCATTGCTATTATTAGGTTTTACGCATTAACAATGATCAATCCAGGAAGAGACTCAATTGTCCCACATATTTAAATCCTGCAATCATCAGAGGACTCAATTAACCTTTCTAGGAACCGCCCACTGAGGGTTATTGATTTTTAAAATCATGTGGCATCTGCTTGAGGCAACAGATAAAGCTGCTTCTGCAATATTTATAACGTACGTATCATAGCTGTGCGTCAAGAATCTACGAACTTTCTGGAAATTTCTTTCTCTTTTTTCATGAATGAATTAATAATTTTAGACTATGAAGATTGTTATATGCGTTTGCATTAAAAAACGATGAAATTTATGTCGCAATAATTTCACAATATTCGTAGTATGGCATTTATTGCTATCAAAAATCTATACTACAAAAATTATCTATATTTCTGTTGAAACGTAATTTTCCACATTTCATGTTAATTAGCAAATGTATTTCAGACACCACTTCATGTTGTACGTCTGCTATTAGTCATATCGTATATTTAACATTGAAACTTTTCCATATTCCTATTTAAGCCTCGTAAAAGAAGGGCATTGGACGTGTTGGCAGTTTTATCGTCGGGTTATTACTCGCCTCAGCAGACCCCACCTTCAGTGTGTAGCGGCGTGCCCTTACCTGGGGCGGCTCGGAGTTTTTAATCACCGTGAAATTACCCGGTTTTCTGTAGTAAACCACCTGCTGGGAACACAAGGCTGCTGTCAAGGTCGATTTCAAGTTCATTCACCTTTACCAATACTACAGTAACAATATTCAACACTGGAGTAGCAGGGTTTGAAATGCACACTCGTGCACTCTCATCCCGTCTCCGGTATATTATATGGTAAAAGGAGCGTGCTGTCTTCGGGGCTCTAATAGTATCCAATAGTAAACATATGCAATGAATTACTTTGATTTCTGAAGGTGGGCCGTTTCTGAAACTTAAGGAATTTTTCATGTCACTTTGAATAATTGTATACTGCTGGATAACACAGGCCTCCATTGTTCCTAATGCTCCCCAGGCGTACGTTAGGCCCATAGCGAAAACCATCAAGGAAATAAAGTATTCAATAAAGTACAGACAACAGAAGCTAAAAAGCAGAGTGAAATATTATCGGGATTAACATAACACACGCAGTGGTGATTCCAGAAATCCCTGTCGATAATCTCATTGTTTTGTTACATTATTAACTGGGGATTTTATGGTTAAAAGCTCATTATCTCTTATACAACATTGATAGGTTGATAGAAAAGTGAAATATAACTGGGATTAAAGATAAGTGTGTAACATTAGTCTTACGGTACAAAAAGTCAATGTTCTGTTTTTTTCACCAATCATGTTCGATTAAAAAAGGAAAAAGGAAAGGAGGTGACAAAACATAACGCTATACGAGTGTGTTTAAAAGCAGGAAATACAGCTATAAGCCGCATTTGTTTGTATTGTTGTAATTTGTGGTGGTACCACAAACTGAGTGTGCCTAGTGTGGGCTTTTTTAGCGCCAACTATTTATGTTGCAAATGTGAGAAAATTGCACAAATGATGTTTTAAAAAAATAGAAGTAAATTACAATCATACGAAGATTTTTTTATTAAAATATTCAGATTTTGTTCCAAATGTTACATAATGCCGTTTGATATAACATATGCATTAACACAGGGTAATCCTGTTGATAGTCTTGATCTTTTGTTGCATATTGTCCTGGGAGTTATATGGTTATTTGCTCCTACAACACTTGGTAATTCACTGCCAGTCGTAAGGCTACATTTCAAGGGGCCCGACTGTAAACCTAGTTTCAAGGACATCCAATTGTGGCGCTGTGGGCATCACGTGATGAATGATCAATGCACTTGCCGCCGTAACGCGACGCGTAGCAGGGCGGCTCGCTTTCTGACGAGCTCCGCTTACTGATAGCACCGAGACCGCTTCCGTGCATTCGTTACTTTACAGCAGCCTTGAACGTGTGTGTTGCCGGCAGTGATCCTCACTCATCACTACCGTTTTTTTCCACATTGGAATCCGCCCAAGAATCAGACAGCGGCTCGGCACGAAGAGCGCAGTTTGATTTCTGCGAGAGGCATCGTTAAAGATCCTCACCCGGACCACGTTGATTATTCTTCCCGTTGGCTCGCGGCCTGGTCGGCTGCAAAATGAGGAAGGCTGTCCCAGGTAGGTGGTCAATCTCCTTTTCCATTTCCCCCACAGGCGCCAAACTCATTTTTCTACCAGGGCTTCTCAAATGGGAAGGGATAGCACACAAATCGCTTGTAAGAGAGAATGATACTGTCCTTGAAAACGGTTTAGTATGTTCAGAATTCCAATCATGAACGTGGCTGTTGCTCAGCGAATTCCTGGTACCAATGCTTTTCCATCGACACTTCATCTCTCTAGTGAAGATTTAGCTGAACTTGAATTCTAATTTGTGCTTAATTTTGCGTCTGGCAGTATTGCGTTACTAGAATATATTTTTCCACAATCTTTTGTCAAGTGCTAGTTTATAGAAGGCCGTCTCTCTTGAAATGAAAGCCGGTCGATACCTAAATCTTGTGTAGCGAGTGATTACATCCATGACCTGGGCAACAGGACGGACGTGGCAATAGGCTAGATAAATCTTCATCATATTATCTGAGTGTTACACAACGGCATCGTTCTGATGAAGGCAGCAGAGAATCTAGTGAAACAAAAGTAATATCAAGTAACAAAAGTAATATCCTGTACTTAAAAACAATCCAGAATAATCTATATCTTTGTTATATATTCTATTTCAATTGATATTAGCTAGACGTAAGCTATTCAACTGTTGTACAAAGGATGTTTAAAAACAGACAATGCAAGTGTATCTTAGCACGCCCGGTATTGACCGATAGCAAGCCATCTATAAGAGTTAATTGCACCAGTAGTAAAGCGGAAATAGATGCTTCGTTTTAGAATTACTCTCTATCAACTAGGGGCGCTCCTTGAAGACAATGAGAACCAGAAAAAAAAACATATTACATATTACATGAAATCACTAGATCAATAGGTGCCTTCTTTGAAAAAATGGCATATTTGCAAAAAGAAGTATTCTGGTCAAAATATTTAAAACTCTAGGTCTTATCCAATATTGCATTATCTCTTATAATTACTAGAATCGCCAATTTATAGAACCAATACCAACCGGGTCTCTCCTGAAATTTATACTTTAAACATTGACGTAGCTGCATCTTATATTAAACGCTAATTGATTAGACAGAAAAAGAATTATACCTAATAATTATTAACTAACTAATAACAAGTCATAAGATTCCTAATAATTTATAAGTCCGGATACGTTACAAAATAACAATAACGGAGTTCGAATATGGAGCCGGTTTGCTTGAGCGGTAGATAAGATAGTAAAACAGTTACCCCATTTGCCAATCAAATAACATGTTGCTCTCTGTGGACTCATCGTTCGCTGTCGGACTAAACTCATCATTAAGAGGGTTCCATTGATTGGTCGGTCTCCTTAAAGCAATCATGAAGGGTTCTTACATAACATCTAGACGCACGCATATGTAAAGAAATTAACAATCTGTGGAGTAAAAAGCATTTGCATCTTGACGCATGGTTTGATTATTTTTAAGCAATTATTAAAGCTGTTGTTAAAAAATGTATAATAATTAAGTTTGGTTGAAGAGAACGTCACGTAGAATTAACAGTTAGTAGAAATTCTTCAATCAGTGACTGTATTTTTGTAAGGTAGATTACGTAATTAAGTTTGGAACTTATTGTATTTTATTTATGATGTAAATGACTTATGAAGGGCTAGCGTTTTCTTTTTGTTGTACTGATTGAGTTTCCTAATAAACATAAAAATAACATAAAGCTAGTAATTATAAAAGTGTAATAAGCTTTAATGTAGATAGAGCGAAACTTACTTGCTCTTTATCCTGGAATTAATAATTTGTGTAATAGTTTCTTTTTTGTAAATTCATATTGGACTTAATGGTAAAAATTGTCTTATCTGCAACCAACACCAAGGTAAAAACGCCATGCAGGAAGTATGTTGGTAAAGTTATTGGTACATTTCTTTTATAACGGGCGAATAATGCATTTTTTTAACCGTATTAGCTAGAAATCCTGAGTGCAGAAGTGCAGAATATATCATCAGTAATAACATTTACATACACAAAACTCTCTTGCGCTGTATTATAAAAATGTACGCTGGTGGAGCCCATTAGTTTGTCATTATAGAGTCGAAAGAAAATTGCTGACAAGAGACAATCCTAGAACAGGTTTAATATGCTGCTCTGTAGAGCGTGCCGGTTACGGCTCATTCCGCCTCGCCAATAAACTTCTGATCGCGCAACGCCCTCAAGAAAACTACGAGTATTTATGCATTTCTACCTTTCCCAGAATGATGTTAATACCTTGGGTCAACCAACACGCATTGTTTCGAAGGCAAAATAACCTGTTAGTAGATTTCATACAAACAGAGTCTATACTGAAAACAATATCGTTGTTTCTCCATTGATCGATCAAAGCACAAAGAGTCCCTAAAGAGTTTTGCACCTTCTGTAAAGGGGATGGCAATATATATACAGGGTGCATATGGACCTTATATAAACCTGAAGCTGTGTAGGTATTACTGATGTCTGCACCTAACCTGCACTGGTCCATGTACTGGGTATATGCAGGTTAGTGCAGGTAAAATTGGAGCTGTGCAGGTATTTCTGATGTCTACCTGCACCTAACCTGCACTGGTCCATGTACTGGGTATATGCAAGTTAGTGCAGGTAATATTGGAGATGTGCAGGTATTTCATACATGTATATATAGATGTACGTGTTTGTGTATTTTTTAATTAGCTGAGTTGAATGTCATAGCA